TTGCAACGTTGCATATTTAAATGCTCGCATTTTCACTTCTCTTCGCACTCGGCTTGTCTCYCGCACACTCGCCGCACTTATTAGACTCAAAGTTTTTCTATAAATTTCAATTAATTATTAATTTCACTGTTTTTTTTTTTGGCAAAGACTTTATTCAATTTTAAATTTAGTATTTCAAATTGTGATTTCGTTCACTTCTATTTTCACTTGCGACGCCGTGCTGGCACATTGCGTTCGCGTGAGATCGTCGACAACGAATGAATTTTTCATAATGCTCRTCGGCGTACCTGTGCGCAATGTGGGGGGTGGTAGTGTGTGGTTGTTGGGAAAATGCTTTTTGGGGTTGGAGTTGCTGTAGCATTGCTTGCTAGTCGCCGCTTAGTCTGCCGAATCTCCGTTAAGTGCTTCAATTGTGGATTTCCCGGCAGCTAATGCAGCCGAAGCTGTCTGGCAGTGTTGCCAGAGTCTGTTTTTCAGTATGTTGTTTTGTTCAAAAAATATTTTGGTCTAATATAAATATGCAAATGGAATAATGATATTGTTTTCTCCGTAACTTTATATAAGGAATATAAAAAGGGTTGCAAACAATCTTTCAAAAACATGATTACACTGCGGAAGTGTTCAGACTTAGTAGACTCGAATCGTGTACTGCTTTTAGATATTAAATTAGCAGGTTATTAAAATATAATAAAAGTATTTCGTAGTCGAAAAAGTCTTTTCGTATTTCTAATAAACTTATTTTTTTTTTATATATATAAACTAACGAATAAATAAGCAAATATGTATGATTTTGGTCGACCACTTTTTGCCATTTTCCGCTAGAGACATTCCATTCAGAGACATTCCATCAGTGCAAATCGATATTTCGAAATTTCGAAATTTTCAGAACGAAAGCGAGCGAACCATTGTTGTGCCACACGAACTCATACAGCATCGTCTCTGTAAACTTCACAAATTTCATTGGTGGCTTTTGTGGCATTCTTCCCTTTTTTATGCAAAAATTTCAAACTTTCTTCATTATTTTCACTCATTTTCGAACAGCTGTAACTTTTTTTCAATTTCCACGAATTAAAATTTTGCTTAAATGAAGCTTAAAATCTTACCCTTCCCATACTATATGGTATGACACAATCTGATTGTGAGCACTACGACTGCAACGACATCTATTGACAAAATTCGAAAAGACTTTTCCGTCTACCCAATCTGAATGAATATGCATTTTGCACTAATTTAGCAAATTTCTACTCAATATTTCCATAACTTTCACTTTTCATAAAAATATTTTCCAAAATTTGCAACATATGGCAACCATGCCAAGCAAACTCTTGCGAAAAGGGCATGAGAGCGCTAGTGTTATAAGGGTTGCACAGCGTGACTCGTTTTCTCAAGTTACAAATGCAGCCAAAAATCATAAGCGATGCCAAAACTACAATCTCTAAGATTTTATATAGATCAGATATATTTTTATCATAATTATTGCACTATTTAAATTATTGCCTAATTTTAGCGTATAATTTAATTCTTCAAACTAACCATGTGAATTTGGCAACTATGCGTTCGCTATGATTTTGCGCTTTCGTAAACTCGCTCTTCTTTGTAAATATTTCTCTTAGCCAAGCCTCAGCATCCTGTTTTATCTATAGAACATAAATGTGAGCATATTTAACTCTCTTTATTCTTATATCTTTGACCCACAAAACTCTAGCTCATTGTTGTTCTCGAACAAACAACAACAAATGAAGCTAGTTTATCTGAATAAATATTTTGTTTCTCCTATGTCCAATTGCCCGTGGTCCTACCCTAATTTTCTTTGTCGTATATATGCTTCTATTTACCACTATACATATATATAATACAATCTGGAGTACATGCTAATTGAATATAAATATTTCTGAGTGTGTTTGAACACCGTTAGTTTGTATACTGAATGATTTTAATAATCAGGCGACCTTTGCATATTGTTGCTGCTGATAAAGTGCGTAAAATTCGTAGCGCAAATAAACAGGTACAGATTCTGGGTCAAATATACAAGGGTGACTGGCTGATAGTAGACCATTCTTTGAAATCAATTTTCATAAGGCTCTCCAGTGATTTTGATAAATAATGGAATGAAAAATATTTCGGGAAAAAAGATGAAAAATATAAAGTAAAAAAAAAACAAAAAAGTAAACGTCCTTGAAATTCTTTTGTCTATCATATATTAGTTCACTCTATAAATATGTATGTATATGTAGCCACAGATCAATTACTTTGGTTTAGTTGCGGTTAACTGCAGCCAATTATCTACTTGCACTATTGCTTCTGTTTGAATTTCTTACCAAATCGACTTATTATTAATGCTCGCCATGAGTGCTTTGAGAATTTGTGACTGAGCTGATAACTCTATCTCAAAGCAGATATGTAATCTCCAAGTACGATTTCGCGGAATTGCCTTATCACTGGAGGTAAGTTAATTTAATTCAGCGAAGTAAAAGTCAACAAAATCAAAACAAAAAAACTTTAGAAAAAATTTTTGGGGACAGAAGGTTAAATTTTTTGTTTATTATGAAAGATCACTGAAAAAAATTTTTGCATTTCCAATATTAATTTCACCGGACTCTTTAACTGGTAGTTACCAGGGTTTCCTTTATTTTTTTATTAAATTACTCCGCTCATAGTCTTTTATATGGAGCGAATTAGGTTAGAGAAAGCAAAATCTGTTTCGTGAGAAACCAGTTCTTTTTTAGTATTGACTCATCGTAAAGAAAACAAGTTCAGGCTTTTATAAACGAGTTTACCTTCAATGCTTTGCACATCCAAATTTTTAACCAAGCTGTTCTCAGTCGTAACGTGTTGAACGGTGTGAGCCTCCGATATCTCTCTTTATGTCGATAATACGATTCCAAGTGGTTTACGGGTTTCAAAATATCGATTTTTTATTATCTTGCTAAATTCTTCTACACCTTTAGAATATTGCCCTAAATTATCAAGTTGATTCGAGCGTAGTTTCGGAGATACCGCCCTGAGAACTTGTGTGCTCGAGACTAGGTAAGGCTAAGTGAGCCGTCTTTAAACGTTTTTCTCGAAACTGTGTTTTTGAAGTCGGTTGGTAAGATTTTTCGAGAACTACTCAAACGATCTGCATGAAATTTTAATGTCTTTAAGATACAATTCTTAAAGATTTGAATGAAAGAGTTTTTTTCGTTTACATCTATTTGAAAAAAAAAAAAATCGCGAAAGTTTCACTGATTTTGGTTTTTTTGTGGAAAAATTAAACTAATTTTTATGTTTAGGATTTACGAATTCCGCAGAATCTCACGACCCAACGAATCAATTCGGTCGAAAGATATTTTTAAGAGTTAGACGACAACTTCTGTCTAGCTTTCACCAGGCTAAAGGCGAAATCTTTCGGTTGTCATACATTTACGAGCCCATATATGTATTTGGATGAAATCGATACTAGATGATGTGGGCATCAGAACAGACAAGCATCTCTAGCAGTCTAGCAGTCCAAGTGAGATTCACGAAAATTCTGCCTGCTTGCCTAATCCAACCTAACCTAGACGATAACATCGAAATCAGTATGTCAACCCAACAATTGGTTCGAAATTATTTAATAGATAACGACTGGATATTGATACTAGAAACAAAAAATAAGAAACCTCTTACTACTTTGCCGGGCATTAGAGCTAAAGCAGTGTGCGAATCATAATTAGGGCAAGGTTGGCATCTCTGGCACATACAACACAAGAAAGGCGCAGACGCACTACAGAGCTAAGAACCGAGTATGAATCAAATTATCGGATCTCACCTTTTTGTAAATTATTGGTGTATATAAAAAAAGAGTTTAAAGGAATGAAATAAATGTTTATAGAATTTCATTATGTTTAAAAAATGAGCGATTTTACTTTCGCATCTCACACTGCAATCTACGTTTATGCTCTCTTAATCAATGATATGCATTTGAATGTAAAGCAAGCAGTGAAAGCGAAAGCGAAGAGCGCTACAACAAAAATAAAGTATATAAAATAATAATGGGATAACTGTGTATCCGAAGCAGTAAAAAAGGAATAAGCACCAAAATCTCATCTATTTCGTTAGATTTTATGTTGCTTTGGGCCTCTGGTGCTGTATGCTTTCTTCCTTGCCCCAAAATACAGGTTTGCTGCCGATTTGTCACAGAACTTTGGTACCAACAGCTGATAAACAACGCGCTAATGCACTCGGCAGTAATCGTCACACACTCCCACACATGTACGCGAAAGAGAATATTAAGGGGTGGCTAGAGGGTATAAATAGTGACATGACTTAAGAAGGGATGTTATTTGCAGCGAGTTTCTCTATGACTCGCCTCACACGGGGTGGTTGTTACGGCAAACAAAGCAGCCCTGCAGGTCTGTGGCAACTGTTTTTTCTTGTTATTGTGTGACTTTATGTGTTGTTGCTTGCGTGCTGCTTGTATTTTCTTGCGATTTATCACCTTGCCACCCCCAGTAACTTAAAAGGAGAAGCAAACAAAATTATAAAAAACGTTTTTTTATAAGTTAGCTTTGAAAAAGTGAGTAATTTTAAGTCTGTATGCTCTCGCTATAAGTGCTTGAACGTATATGTACTGAAATTTGATTTACAATTCCTTTCATATGTTCTCGGTAAATACTATTCATTATTGAGAAATCAGTCAATGGCTGCACGCAGCAGCTTCGCGCACCAGTTCTACATACACACATATGCATTTGTCTGCCCGATAGCCATTGTAATCATTCAGAAATATACAAACATATAAATCAGCCGTCAGTAAACAATAAAGACTCCGCTAGGCTGTTAGTGACTGATTGGCGGCGGGTCGCGAGGAAGGCAGCACACAGCTGGTCAGACTCTAAAAATTGTTTAGCTGTCTTGCTGCGCTCACGCTCGTTTGTGTATCTGGACGTGCTCGTGTTCGCTTGCCTTGCTGAGCATACAGTTACATTTGCTTAATTTATTTATGGAAACTTTGTTGTTGCTTCATTAAGACTACGTACTTTACTCTGATGTGACCGCCGCGCCGCGCTGGAACTAGCTTACAGCACTTCTTTGGACAGCTCTGCTGATCGCCACTATAGTGCTTGATTGCTTCGACACAAAACGCTCGAATTATATTTACTTCCAATAAACACACTTTTAGAAGAATTTGCTGCGCTTGGCCCTAATCTCGATATGTAAAATGCACACACTGCTTGTAAACTCAACACTGCGCCGCCCTTGGCTCATTTATTGATATGCTTATTTTCAGTTGGAGCGCCAGCTTTTCTGGCGTCTTTCGTATTTTGTTTAATTTATGGCGCAACACATACACACGCGCGGCATTGTTTTTGTTATAATTTCGAACACATTAATTCTCTTCAACACGCGTACGTTTCTTCTTGTTTCTTCCAACGCGCCACACGTTTTGCGCGTCTCTGCTCGCGAGCACCGAACGCCAAGCAGAAATTAATTTAATGACAACAAAGCAGCACACAAAATTATTTATTTATTTGCATTACTATTTAATTATTTGTATTTTAGGAAATGTTTATTCTCCGCTTTGTGCTTTTTCGCATGCAGCACCAACTTGAGACGAACGCTTTGGCAGACTGAAGACTCAGCGCCTCTTTGTGGTGTGGTAGGTAGCCACCTAGTCCACAGCTAGACTGTGTACGGCTCAGCTGATGCGTTGTGCTGCCGACGCCTTCGTCTGTCTGTGTTCGCTTGCTGGTTTATTGCCTCCCAGCTTACAAAGGCGGATGTAAATTGTGTGGCTGATGTGTATCTTGTGGTTGGTCTCTTTGGCTTTGCGGTCGTGCGACTGGCGCTGGGTGGCCTGAGCGGTGAGCGCACTAAGCGGCGCGTACGCGCAAGTGCTATAGTGTAGGTGTGAGCGCGCGCTGAGCGGAGTGTCGTCGTTAACGATTATTAGTGATTGTGAGCGCGCTACCGAAGTAGCAATTTGGCGAGATGCGCGCTATCAATGGTCGTTGTGTTAACCCAAATCCGCCTATTTTACTCGCGTATGCCTAGGTACACACTTTTTTTTACATTAATAAGCTGTATTTTATATGTCGCCGACGCGCAAATCCGCTGTTGCTGCTGCTTCGTAGCGCCAACAAAGAGGAACTGACTCGAGTGCCAACGCGAAATCATATAAAACGGTCGGTACTGCTTGAGAAGCGCGGAGAATAGCAGCAGCTGCTGCAGATCTATAGCCGTGCGTATATGTGTATGTGTGAGAGTGCGTTGTGTGCCGATGCAAATGTTGCTAAACATTTCGCTTTGTATTCAAATGATTTTCTGTATACATTTCAATTGATTTCCTGCGCCAGCATTGATACCATTTCATTTGCGCTTGTGTTTGCGTGTGCGTGTTTTTGGGTGGTTGTATGCCCGCTTTCCAAGCATTATTGAATGATGATAATTGGGCAAATGGTTTGAAAGTTTTCAGTTACCGTTGTTTAACTGTAAATTTTATTAGAAATTCAAATTTTCTTATCGCTTCGATGTTTTGTCATTAACTAAGATATCTTCATGGAGAATAACAAGAGTTAGGTGGTAGTTCTTTCGCCTCTTGAAGTCCGGAAATAGCTTTGTTTGCTACACTAATTTGGTTAATGTTTTGACACACCTTTTCGACTCAGAATTGGATTCCCTAAATTGAGTTACTATAGAGTAATCTGCTTTTGCGTCCCAAGTCTAAAAAAGTCGAAAAAGTCGTTTCGTATTTTTAATCAAACTCGTATTTATAAACAAATCGGAATTTTTAAATTTCCAGAACGGAAGTGAGCGAACCATTGTTGTGCTACACGAACTGATACCCAAATCAAAAAGTGCTGGTTGCTGACCAACTCTTACTGAGCTCGCGCGAGGCTCTTAGATCCAGCCCTTAAGTGCGCGATGACAGGGGAATGCTCTTAATGGGATTTAGGTAATTTGGATTGGGTTTTTTAACGAGCTCGTCGGCTTTACAGTTTCCGATGATTCCGGTATGGTCAAGCACCCATACTGTTTCAAGAGATCGAAGTAGTCTCACAAATATGAGACCGTGAACGATTTTGGGATATAAATACGACCTCTTTGAAAGTAGTTTTTGAGTGAGTTGAAAAGCAGAAACTTCACATTTGGGCAACGTAACGTTTAAACGAGATTTATGAAGCTCCATTGCATGGAAAATGGGATATTAAGAGATTACGCCATCATTGACATTTAGTTATTTCCAATGAAATGAAACAACCCCTATGATATGATTCGATCCATCGATAAAAATATCTACGAAAAATATGTCTAACACTTCAAAATTTCCCCAGAGTGTCACTTTGTTCAACAAACAATTCAGAAGAACCAAAGATTTCTGCATATCTAATGCCAAAAAGACGACGGGCTAATTCAATAAAATAAAGTATCTCAAATACTAAAAGCTGAGTTTGGTTTTGTGTTTTTTTTTAATAAATTATGGTGCACCCTATACGTATATGTCAAAATGAAAAATGATTCATGAAGAGTTAATAATTTTTTCTCTAATTTCTGGACTTCGCAATTGTTTAATGACCCCCATTAAAACTATCTTAAAACTCGAATAGGGTAGGAAAGTGTAAAGTTCTAACTGGAAGTCGGACTAACACTATCGAGCAAGCAATGCGATATGTCCAGTTTAGACATATTTACACGCATCATTATTTGATTGTTAAAAACTCACTCAAAATGCTTACGTTATCATTTATGCGCTTGAATGCCGAAGTCTGTATTGAAATAATAGCTAAAACAAAGAAGCTGTGTATTTCCACCAAAAAAAAAAAAAAAAAAAGTAATTCATACCAAGCTCCTACAGAGCGCAGTTTTTCGCTTTAATGGAGCAATGAACCAGAGCACCGAGAGCAGTCGTGCTTCGTGCGGACTGATGTCGGTTGGTCAGTCCGTGCTCCAGTAGCTGAGCTGTGCAGGCGCCTGGACTTTTAAGTGCACCTGCACCGAACAATATCTAATCAACGGACGCAGCTGTGTGTTATTTACTCGCTGTCAGAAACACATGCTCAATTCTTGCGAGACACTTGTGAGACACTTGCGAGCTTACACGCATGTCTGCGCACATTTTGCCGTCAGTTTATTCAATTTAAATAATGATTTAGTTGCTGTTAGATCTAGAGTGCACTCCTCACAACAATTTACTCACATGGAATCAATTTCGTTGTAGAATGTAATGGACTTCTAGATGCAAAGGAAGCGGAAGTAGCACTTTCGAAGTATGTAGGCGGTATTTTTATCCCAATGTAAAGCATGAAGTGAAGTTGCTGAATAAACTGACGTTTCCAAACCACAAGAAACCCAAACAGTCGCTTGTCAATGGTACAAAATAAAAGATGGCGCGCCCTTTATCTATACCTCCCTGTGTGTATTTCTTTATTGCGAAAGCTTACGCCAATAATTATAAAATTAAATTCTTTTCACTTGTTTATGGCATAACTTTCTCTCAGCTAAAGTCTTCTTATGACATCGGTGTCTTCAAATAAATTTAAAGTGCCAATGTACTCTACTCCACCAGCGATTAACACATACATAGCTTTTGATCAACACTATTCTGCTCGCTATTAATTAGGGCGATTTATTTTGTGAGTAAACACAATTGTGCAATTAAATACCTGCCACTAGAGATTTCTCAATAAATGCCTGCTATCTTCTGACTACACGACACAATTGTTTATGGCTATGCTAAATTATGAGTCAGCATGCATACATACCAGAATGTGGAAAATATTTTCTTTTAATATTTCCCGCTTTTACGTAAAACTTTGTGTGTACACACGCGTCTTGCGATTTGTTTATTTTTTTACATTCAGAAAATCACTATTGAGCAACTTGAAAAACAAAGCAACTGATTCGATTCATTGCCTGCAGATCATCTGTGTCTGCTTTCGCAAAACTAGAATCAGCAATCAGCAAGTAGATTATTAAATTACACGCTGCTCGTGCTTTAAGAAAGGCACTCAGCGGCTGACTAGCGTTTGCCGCTGCAGAAATCGAGAGCGCACACTGGCCGCCTTATCTTAGCGCTGTGGAGACTTTTCATAGGAAGAGAGAGCAAAGTAAACTGTGTTTTCTAAGTGTTTTGCAATTTTTGCATCGTTTCCTCATTTTAACTAAGATTTGTATCTTTGTTTTATTTATTTAGTCATAAACTAGCTGTGAAATCATTCTAAAATATGGATGTGCTGCTTCTTATCTACGGCTAAGGGCGGCTTTAGCTCGAAGATAACTTAGTTCAAAGTATAGTTCTTTTAAAGGTTAATTGCGATCTTAAAAATATTTTTACGTCTGTTTGGCAGATTTCGTTCACGGCCCAGTAGATATACGCTACAACATTCAGGCTATACGTATAATGGTAGAATACTATTCTCAGGAATGATAGCATTTGAGAATATGTCAAAAATGATAGATGACACAGATGACCATACTCATTTCGATACTCGAAAAAATAGAGAGAAATAGAGAGACATAAAATAGTATCAAGCTAAGCAATAGTCACTCTTTCGGGTATGATGTCACTCCTGTCAACAGTTGTAAGCAAGGATCGCTATCTCTATTTAAATCAGTTTTAAATTGCGGCAGCTTCTTTCCAAGGTGTAATATTTTCAATCTATTTAACATTTGTTCGTGACGTCGTGATTGTACTAGGTTGGAAAGTACTTTCACATATTTGCATTGAAAGTCTGACAGTTTTACTAAACTGTGATCGCGTTTTTAAAGAAAATAGTCAAAAGCTTCAAATTTAATGGAAAATGTTTATTACAAATCGAAGGAACATTTTCTGGAATTAATCTTTTGAAGATTATATCTTCCAAATGTTAGTCGCGGCTACGTCTCAAATGGCCCATCCGTTGAGTTCAATTTTCGATGACTTGGTGCTCAAATGACCAGCCCAAAACATGAAATTATCTCCTTACCGAAATGTTCTCTCAACAACTCCATTGGTTTATGTCATTGACGATTAACGGGATTGTTTTGGAAGAAATGTGCACCGATAACTCCACCGGCTCACAAACCGCACCAAACCATAGTTTTTTGTGGATGAAATGGTAGCTCCTGAATCTCTTTAGGTTCCTTTTCATCCCAAATACGAGAATATTGCTTATGTACATACTCTGTAAGCCAGAAATGGGCCTTATCGCTGAACAAAATTTAGCTTATGATCGCCGGATCTTCTTGGAACTTTTCAAGACCCTATAGAGCGAAGCGTTATCGCTAGGGAAGGTCGATCGGTTACAGTTCTAGCACAAGATGTGTTTTGTACGCTCTCAAATTGAGATTTCGACGTAAATCGACTCTCCACGGTCTTCGTGGACACTCTCCGACTGCTATATTTTCTTCACAGGAAAAAACATTACGTGGCCTATTCAGTGGAATATTATTGAGTAATGAATGATGGGTCTCAAGTTCGATAATGATATTGCGAATAGTATGCGCAATAGGCCAATTATGATGACCATAAGTTTAGTGAAGCGCGCGAAACGAATTTTTACAGCGCGTGAATTTTTGTATAAAGTCGTAAGTCGTTTCATGATGTCTACCACATTGGATTGTTACCGAATTACACTGCGCTGCGGTTTTGCGGTGAGAAGAGGGCCAATACAATGGCAGGTTTTTCACAGTATCCAAAGTAAAATGCCAAGGCACCAATATCTTTGATTTTATTAAGTAGTTTTGAAATTCAATCTGTACTCAGGCGGTTACCTCGCCTATCACGAAGCCGAGTGTTCTACATAAATTACTTCATTATAGCCTTATTACTCTAAAATGTGTTAAACAATTATCGTTTTTCAAAACGTATTTACAAAACCTTTTATCCAATCATTAGAAAAAAGTGATTTACTACAAGCATTAAAGTAAAACAAAGTATTTAATTGGGAGCAAAGTTTAACTAACAAATATAAATAAATTATATGAACATATCGACAGACATGCGAGCGTGTGCGATATTTAGGTGCATAAGCACCGAAACCAACTACTCGACAAACTGTAGTGCGAGTGTTTTAAAATTAGTGGTGATTACATGCAGGCATATTTATGTAAATATATAAATCAATAATAATGATATCATATTGTGCTGAG